TAGCAATTTTCATATGGTACAGACGAACTGTTTTTCAATCGATGGTGACCTTTCAAACAAACCAAAGAAGTACATATGGGAAACGAATTCCTTCCACCCTTGTGGAAATCTTCGTGGAAAAATCTGAACGAGTCTCCATGCTTTCTGAAACGTACGCGGCACTTACTGCAATCGGGGGGAAGTAACACCTTTTACACTAGCTACTATTCAGTTTCGAAAGATGATGAGAATAAAATATTCGTAATTACCGCTGCCCCCTAGCAAAACAAGAACCTTTCCTTGCTGGAAAATTGTCTTGAAGCACGTAGGCACATGCGCTAAAATTATCATAGTCGAGAAATGCACAATTAGCGGTTATTTTCTTTAGCTGGCTAGAATTTTGATAAGAAGTTTCAGAAAATAAACATACTATTTAAAGAAAATATCAACATCAAGACATGCACAACATATTAAGCGGCTTATGAACCTTCCAAATTTTTGATGTCTATAATACAGAGCTAAACTTGTAAATCATACTGGTGCATTTTTCAAAATCTGCTACTAACTGCGACATTTAAATTCAAGCGGCATAGAATACAGACTTTCGTTACAGTGTTTGCAGGTCTCAAAACTTTAATACCTTATCTTCTACCACGCTACATACTGGAGTGTACAGCAGGTTCATTGCGTTGTTGCTTAAAATGATTTATGTAAATTTGTTTTGTTAATAGAATCTTTCGCCACTTTTCATTTTCTTCTCCATTTGTTTTGATTTCTTTACGCATCGCAAAGTCCGTTGTAAAAATATCACTTTGAGCTATCTGTGTTAAAAGTTTTGAGATGATTATGCGAAATCAAAGAGTGCCATGTTAAAGAAATTGAAATAAAGGCTAAGCGTGCATGATCTTTATGGAGACAGTGTTGTCAAAAGCTAAGACGTGAAATAAGTAGACTCAGTTTAAAACGTTGATCAAATTATCAATTAATTTCGACTGCTATCGCAGTTGATTATCCTATCCAGTTTGATTCCACGGCAAGTGACCAAATGAATTAGCGAAAACTACTTTCTCTTATAAAAACAAGGCAAGTCATTGCTTCTGCGCCGAAGACTTTCATCTAAGAATAGCTCAGAAAAATTGACTGAAAGCTAAATAGAATCCGAAACTCAGACGAAATCACAACAGGCAAAATTACTTTTGATTCCACTCCTACCAATCAACCCCCCACAGTATAAACTTAAATGAAAAAATCAACCATTCCATGATCAGGAACTGGACAGCCATGGCTTGCAGATTAGCGAACAAGTGCAGCAGTCTTCTGTTCAAGAAAAACATCAAGCTAAAGTAAAAGAATATCAGCACAAAAATAAAGCTAGCCATTCAAAATGAGTGGGAAACAAATTGCTGTTTGACTGTACACACAATTGATTTAATACTTTGAAATGCATGATCGATATCCGAATTATCGTTATCCGAATGAGATCATATGTGACAAATGCTAAATAGGTTCCTGAATCGGAACAAAATTATTTTATTGAATAACTAAATCCTTTTTAAACATATAAATTGATCTCTATTTGTATGATTTGATCCGAAACCAGTGCTTAGATCCCGCTTAAACTCGTTTGAAGAAGAGATACAAATTTGTCGTCGAAATTGTTCATTTGCATATATAGGTTGATTTCTCCAAATTCGTTGTTTTCAATTTGTGCAAAGATTATCGTGTCACCCGCTGAAGCAGTCAGAATTGCACATTTTCAGCTCTATGCGCGATAACGATGGGCTGTATTTGAATTAAAGTGGATGGATGACTTTCGATAGGTAGTCTAATCCGCAGTAACGCACAATTGTACATTTCAGTTCCTTATCACATCATTTCTTTACGTTTGCCGAAGAATTGCCCTGCGAAGCAGCACCGTGTCTTCGCACATGTGAGGATACGTGATTCGATGATGTTCGCGACCACTTCTGAATCATGTTTATGTAAACCGCTGGGGCAAAAACGGCTATAATCATTAAACAGCTCTTCGCGAAGGGTGTGCAATGCGTTCCTCGCTAAAGCTATGGGCAATGCAACTGCAATTGTGGAAGTCCGAAATACGAGCACGCTGAGGAGGAGGGAACCGGCCGGCGATGGCCTTGGCGACACGAGTCATCAAAGGCGGTAAGAGCAGAGTCTTCACTTGGCACTGTGGTCGGACGGTGAATGAGGTCGTCGTTCCCGCAGCTGCCATCGTTTCTGACAGCCGCCGGCCTACCATCCATACCGTGTTCAGTTTTTTGTGCATGACCTGCTTCCAGTTCAAGTTGCTGAGGGTGCCGTTTTCGCTGTGATCGACATCTAGGGCTAGCAAGTTTGGGGGAGGAGAAGGGAAGACAGTTACGCAGTGGGTTAGTAGGTTACTTTGCACGGTAGAGCGAGGGTTCAAACCCGCCGCGCGGCGTGTAGTTTCACTAATTAACGGATAATTCCCGTACGTCTGTGCAATCAGGCACAAAACGGGTTGCAGGTGGGTGACCTTCAAATTATGGGGACAGCATGGTGTTTTGATGTAGTCATGCCAGAATATGAGACATGCAGCCATATTTTCTGATACGTGCATCTTCCTCTCCGACTGCAATTCGCTTTGGCCTACGTGGCGGTTGACTGAAAATTAGCATAAGGTGCAAACGTAACTTTAAAAAGGGCTGTTCTTATAGTGTTGGAAAGGGAAATGTTCAGATTTAAGTTTCACTACTTAAAGGGCGTCGTCCGTTAACACGTTCATGGGCGTGCAAATAATTATTGAATATATTT